TATCTTGCACAGAAACAAATACTGAGTTGCAAACATGTAATTAATGAAGAGGAGCAGGTATAAAAGACATAAAAATAAAGGGGAAACGTTTGCCAGGAAATGAAACAAGGCTAGTTGGGCAGGTGATGACAAGAATGACAGACAACAGATGGATGACAGGAACAACAGCAGATGAACAGCACAATCACAAAATTTTAGAACAGTAATGCCGCCGCGAAGCAACCGATTTCACAGATCTCAAATAACAAATGGATTCTAGAAATTTCAAAAAAAAAAAACCTAATTTGCATATGCACGGAATATCTCAGAAAAAACAGAAGGATTCTGGAAATATGCCACAACATTCCGAACAGTCTAATTTGCGTATGCATGGAATACAAGCATTTAAATATTGCATTTTTTGCTGTCTCTGTCATTCAATGCGCACAGTCAACGCGATGAGCAGTTGTTCGATGAGCAATCACCGCCGGTGGTGGTGGTGCTCAATATCTCGGATTCTTTGGCTGTTGGCGCTCATCCCGGTTGCCGTGTCCGTGATGTGCTTTTCGAATACGGTTCGTAACTCTGTGGACGAGGAATGCGGTCCGAATGGATACTGCTACACGCACAATTCATCGGGTCGCACTGGCACATATTACAGAATAATCCGAGGATGTGATCATAGCTTCCTGTGCGAGGTAAATCCCAGGGACACTCTCCAGTGAATCGAAACATGCAGCAAAAATCGGTTTCTTAAAAACAGGACACTCGAAGGCCACTATCCCTGGGGAAAGACCGGACGACGAAATGACTTTGTCTAAAAGCAACCACTCGTTGGTTGAAATCTGTCTCTAGTTCCTAAAAGTTTTCTAAATTCGTAATGAGAGATCGATAGTGACAATATTCAGTGTTAGGTGCCGGTTGTTATCACCGCGAATACCAAGACTCAGGTCGAGTATCAGTGACTCAGGTCGAATATCCCATTGTTACAGATTTTTCGAGGATAAACGCAAATTCGGAAGATCGGCCTGATTTGCCGAGAAATTTTGGCAACTGCCATATTCCTAATTTGATGCCAAATTCATTGCAGACAATGATCAGCAAAATAAATGACAAACAAGACACAGACAAAAAAGGCTCGGAAAAGACGATATATAACACTCTTTTTTGGTGCACAGAGGATGTACGAATACGTTTGGAGGACGAAGCGTTGGTGAACGGTGAGATATGCTGCTGCAAAGAGAGTTGGTGCAATAAAATGTTTGTCGACGAGATGAAAAGTGACCTGGAGACAATCCGTGAGCTGGACAATGGAACGGCAATCGAATATGAAATTTTAAAAACAATCGCCGCCAAATATGGCGTTAAATAAACCCAATGGATCACGCATTTTTTAATTTTTTAATTTTTTTAAAGTTATTCTTAGGTTCTTTTGCTTTTTTTCTTGAAAAATTTTGTCCAAATTATTTTCGAAATTTTAGAATTCTTTGTTTTCTTGCACTTTCTAACTGTGCTTTTTCACAGTTTTTTATGATTTTTTGAAAATTATTTTCGTGCCCTTTTTTACTTTAATTTACTCTATTTGCTGAATTCGGCTTTGGGTGGAAAA